TGCATTGCACACTTTGCACATATTGTAGCGAGGGCCCTGCCAGTTTGCAGACACAATAGTAAGACAACAGCAATGGCCTGTATGTAGTCTACGGGACAGCGAAAAGGTTAAGTTGTAAAAACAATTAGAGGTTTCACTTTCACTAGTATCGAGACAGATTAGTTTATTTCAGTTACTTTCATAGCATAATGTTTTATGGTATATTGCAATGGGGAAATGCGGCTGATTTAGAAACTATTTTTGTTGTGCAAAAGCGGGCAATAAGAGTTATTTACAACCTAAAACCGAGAGAGTTTCTCGGAGAAAAATTTAAAGAATAGTCGTTTCAGTAAAAAAAAAGTGATATACCTTATATATATATATATATATATATATATATATATATATATATATATATATATATATATATATATATATATATATATATAAAGTCCCTACTTAAGGGTCCTTCTCTCTTAAGTTATTACGTAATTAGCTAACCTAACAACATCTTATAGTGACCACATCAATACTAAAAATCTTTTATATTTTAAATAAATAGATTGACTTGGCCATCGCATGAAAATGCAATGTATCTCTCAAGTAATATATATTATATTAAATTAGATTGTTTAGTGCGATTGCCAAGTCAATTTATTTATTTAAAATATAAAAGATTTTTAATATTGATATGGTCACTATAAGATGTTGTCAGGTTAGCTAATTACATATTAACTTAAGACAGAAGGTCCCTTAAGTAGGGAGTGAATAAATTAACCGACTTACATGGATCTCACAACTTTTTACGGTAGGAGAACTGAGTTGCGAGGCTTGGTTTTTTAGTTATGTTTTTGATGGCATCTCATTTCTTTTTGTAAATAGTTATATCTAGGTACCTATCTACACCTATTATTTCATTATATTCCACATATATAGGTACACTGAATCATTCACTGCAAATGTAACTTTGTAATCCTATATATTTATATGGGATTACAAAGTTATTTTTGCAGTTGATGTATCTCGAAAACTGGACCGAAATTGCAAAATATTTTAATTTTTCCTTAATTTATATACTAAACAATAGTTGTATTCCAAATTTTAAGCTTCTATGTCTTCTAGAAGTGCCTTAGAGTTTTGATGATCGGTCAGTCAGTGAGTGACAAAATTAAGAAATTTTGACTAGTTATAATTCTTAAACTACTGGTTCAAATTTAATAAAATTTGAAACATATCGCGATTATACAATGCTTACTTGGTTACTGAAAATTCAGGCTTCTAGTTTTATCCACAACGAAGTTATAGGGTTTCGAATATGGCCTGAACTGCTTCGAGAAAAGGATGGTACGGCCGTGCCGCTTTTTCTGCCGACTTCCAAAAAGGAGCCGGTACTCAATTCGACTGTATGTTTTTTTTTTTTTCGTTTTTTTTTTTTTTTTTTTTTATGTGTGTTACCTCAGAACTTTTTTCTGGGTGAACCGATTTCGATGATTCTTTTTTTATTTGAAAGCTGGTACTTCTCGTGTGGTCCCATATGAATTTGATCAAGGTCAGACCAATAGTTTTTAAGTTATTCTTAAATAACTTATATTGAAGTCGGCTGTACAAAATTTTTAATTTTAAATTATTGTTCGACTTGGCAGGGGCACTGCCGTGCCCCCTGATACAAGGTCTCTTTATTATCAACTTTGAATATTTTATTAAACAAAACTATAAAAAGTGTTATTATAATATTAATGAATACATGGCTAATAATAACCCCTGGGAATGAGGTAGTCGTCCAAGCTGTTTTTAAAATAAATTTTGTAAATAGTTTAATACAACTTTTCATATTGTATTATTTAAAAAAAGTCCCGCTGGGTTTATTGCTAGTTCTTCCCAGGACAGAGGTTTTCAAGAGGAGGTTTCCAAACCAGTGGTAAAAGTAACAAATGACTCAATAAGAATTGTATGTAATCTACATTGAATAAAAAAAACTATCGGTAAATCTAATTGCACATGCCTTAAGCGTATTAAAAAAATACCGAAGTACACCTTCAGGTCTCCATAAAGTCCAAGACGTATATGTATATTTATATATAAATCCTGCGTACTCTTAGTGAAACAAAATAATGTAATAAAAATCTGTGATTATAAAACTAATAATATCTTATTTTGGTTAAGTATGTATCTTTGATTTTTGGAATTTTTTGTATTTCTATAGCGATCGATATTTTTCAGCACGAACCGCTGTAAACAAACGACCACTCACGACTGCGGGAGAGCCCGGAGCTGTAATTGTGTTCTATGTCCCGGAGTAAAAAAGTACTCTGTGGCCCAGAGCGAAGCAAAGTGTATTTTATTAAAATGTATTAATTCAAGCCTGCTCGAAACAACGAAAATTTCGCTATTTCTCAGCCAAAAAATATTTATAACTAAACAAAACAAAATTAAACAGCCATTTACGGCTCCGTAGCACAGTGGCTTAGCAATGAGTTGCTGCGCTGGGGGGCGCGGGTTCGAATCCCGCACGGAACAAGTATTTGTATGGCCTATAAATGATTGTTCCGGGTCTGGATGTTTGTCCTTGTGAAATTTGTGTCTGTAAACTACCTCCACGATACAGGAGAAAATCCTAGTGTGGGGGTAACGTTTTTTATAAAAAGAACTTAAAGAACTTAAAAATTTACATTGCATGGCTTACCACATGATAGATGAAAAGTTTAAAAATAGATTTAGTTGAACAATTGATGTACACGCCCCTAGGTGCCCCGCCAAAGGTCGACCATACAGGGGCCCATACAGCTGTAGATTCGACGGACAACTAAGGGTGGGGCCAAACGGCCTATGGAGACTTATTATTCTACACAATAGCTAGGTAATTAATAAGAACGTACCTGTTTCCGCAGCTAAGACTGACCACAAGACTCGGTCAGGCGGTAGGTAGGTGCATGTAAGTTTGTGTGCAGTAGTGTGTACATGTGTGACCTGACTTAAGCGAGGTGATCGGGCAGCGGCCTGGTCCGTTGCTGCCCCACGATGGGATATCACTCCAGAGGACGTCACCAATGGAAAACTGCTGACTTCTTTCACTATTTCAGTTTATGAACTTTATTGTACACTATTTCAATCCATCAACTTTATTGTACATTTAATTAACTTCAAACTCAACTAACTCCCTGTTAATCGTAATCAAAAACGTACCACACGACACGACTAATGAACGGTGGACCTAAGTTCACTTCCGATTTCACTCAGCAACAAATTATTTCTAGAACCGAACGCAACCTTCTCTAGGGTCACAAAGTTCCGCGCTCCCCACAACAACCAAGATTCTTTCGTACGATATTAACAGGCCACTCACGCAAATCAAAGATTGCAACTGCACTTCAAAACGCAATCACTATACAAATTGACGTAAATTACTTGCAACGAAGTTACTTTAATCACTCAAATTCAATACAAGCCTCTTGTTACGAAACACTCAAATATACACTCAATTCGAGGCGGTATTAAAGATACCCAAATTTTCGATAGTAATTAGGCGCGCACCATACTCAAATTCGGACTTTGATCGCAATCAATGCTAACTTCCAAAACAATTAACCGACCCGGTGACCCGGTGACAAACAGCAGAAAGAATAGCCCGTTTCCCTGTTCTCTAGATAAATTCATAAAACAGGTGTGTGTGTAAAGTACACAATTAAAAAGTAGTCACACTATGGTATTAGGTTTGAAAACTGTAAAAATTGATGTAAGAGTGAAATATAAATGGCCAGCAGGGGCCTTGTAGACCGCCCGAAGGAGCTAAAGGAGAGTGAGGTAGTAAAAGTGAAATTGAACCCCAAGGTACGGTCGGCCCACTCGCTGATTAAAAATGGGGTGCTCATGGTACTATAGCCTAGACCACAAGGACTTTGTGGAATACACGTAACGTACGTACGTTACGTAAGGACGAGTTAACATATTCGTGGTTAAGTTGGACAGTGAAATATTATTTTTATTTATAGGAATAGAAAAAGACCCATAGGTATGATCGAAGTCTGTTATGTAGTAAAATCACAAAACAAAAGACAATACAAAATTAAATGTATCGTAAATTCGAGCAGATCAGTCTCCACCCCCCATGCAGTATCTAATTGCTTGACATAACAATTATATACTAATTAGAACGTGTTAGGTTAGTCCACCTAGGAGTTTGCCTGGATTGGTACTACTACGTTCTCGCTTAATTTTGCTGACTTTCAGGCGAGTACCCACTGTTGTGTTCCGGTTTGAAGGGTAAGAAAGTCAGTATAATCACGGACTGACACTGAAATGCATTTTATTTTAGTCCTAATGACAATGTATCTGTCAATTAACATCGGGTGGAATATCATTTCTTATATTTACGCGAAGACTACACATTAAATGAAACTAATTATTACGGATTTTTTCCGCGTTTAATTTTACTTTTTACTTCCCGACGTTTCAACACCCGTGGTCCCTCCCGTGACCACGGGTGTTGAACGGGGTTTGATGACTCCGTGGCGCAGTGGCTTAGCAATTAGTTCTTGCGCTGGGGGCCGCGGGTTCGAATCCCGCACGGAACAAGTATTTGTATGGCCTACAAATAATTGTTCCGGGTCTGGATGTTTGTCCTTGTGCAATTTATGTTCGTAAACTGCCTCCACGACACAGGAGAAAATCCTAGTGTGGGGGTAACGTTTTTCTAAAAAAAAGAAAAGAAAAAAAAACCATGGAAGCTCAAAAGCACCTGAAACTTCGAAAAATAAACGTTAAATTAAACGCGAAAAAATCCGTAAAAATTAGTTTCATTTAATCGGGTGGATTGTTACCTAACTCGTTTGTTACTGACATTTTATTAAATGATATCTTATGACACAATCAAATTTCTGTGATAAGCGACTGGTGGAAACACCATATTTTGGGTTCATTCTAGTCGATGCCAATTTTTGGAGCCAGATATATTTAACTTTTGTTTAACAAGGGATATAGCGAAAACCGATGATTAAATGTCTTTAAATGTTTTTATATAGAAATTATGAACCTCCAACATCTAGTAGTCCAGCGCAGATCATGTTGTTGGTGACGAGGTAAGGATCGCCGGTCGCTGTCTGCAGGTACTGGTAGCGCAGTAGACAAACATTTCTGTTAACCTTGCGAACTGCTACCTCGTTGAGGAGATCGGAAGCTTGCGGTATTGCAACCTGAGGATGGAATACGTGGTCTATCTTAAAATTTTAATTAATATTTTTTGTAGTGTAGAGTAGCTCACACGACGAGTCTCCTTTCATGCAACACCTTCCGACATTACATTTTAAGAGACTTTACAAGTCGCGGCACGTAAGTCTAGCGCTGAACGAAACATCGAGCGGACGCGCACGAATTGAATTGCACGAATGCGACTGGAGAGCCAATCAGCGCGTGTAAACGATACGCACGAGCCAATCAGCGCAGTTGTGTATCGCTAGCAACGCAAAGTCGGGAATTTGCATTTGGAAAAATCCAAAATTAGGGGCTTTTTAGGTGCTAATTAGGTGCTGCAAGTATAGACAATGACAAGGCGCTCCAGATAAAAATAAAGTCGTTATTCAGTAAATTATTCAGTAAAGCAAATGCAAAAATCAGGTCTTTGTGTTTGTGCCATCTAGCGTCTATCATACTTACCAATTTGAGAGTCCATCGATTTTGATTGATAAAATGTCTAGAACTATAGAACGTTCGCAATATGGCAGGTTTGAAAGATGACCTTATCACAAAAATTGATAAGGGCGTGCTTCGGTGGTTTGGGCACGTTGAGCGAATGAGTGAAGACCGAATGGTGAAGACAATATATAGCGCGAAAGTTAATATTAAAAGGTGTCGAGGTAGACCGAGACTAACTTTCGAAGACCATGTGAGCAAATTGCTCGAAGAGGGTAGGGTCAAGAGTACTCGGATACCTAGACGTGCATGTATGAAGAAGATAATGAATCTGAAAGAAGCGAAAGAGATATGTAAGGATCGTGACACTTGGCGATCTGTTCTCTCTGGCTACCCCGTCAGGGATTGTGCGTGAAGATAAGTAAGGAATAAGTAACTATAGAACGTTGTAGATAGCGCTATTTATTACAAAGCAATTTACAGGAAAGAAAATATCCTTTCAATTTAGTACACTAAAGTTTAGGCATCACACGTCTAAAAATAAGAATTGTAACATTTATTTGGTTAAAAATTATATTAAATAATATTATAGATTATCTTAAATCTGAAAAACAAAAAATGCCGTTCATACTTTATAGTAATGGTGGTTTTGAATGCGATTATTTCCAGAATATTACCGTCATCTACATGCGACCTCAATAATCTTTCAGCACCTAATTAGCACTTAATTTTTAGGCACTGATAAAGAACAAAAAACACCGTTCATACATTATGGTAAGGTAATGGTGGTCGTGTACCCCATAATTTCCAGAATAATATCTTAATCTGTATCGGGTCACAGAATAAATAATAGTACTACGTAATCGGGTTTAGATAATCGCTCAGCACTTAACTTTTAATTCCTTGCTATTAATATTTATTGTATATCTAGTAACGTCATTGCGTTGCTAGCGTGACGTTTTGCTAGCAACGCAAATTTCAAGAGTTCGTTGCGGTGAAAATTTTAGAGCACCTAATTTTTAAACTTGGCACCTAATTAGCACCTAAAAAGCCCTTAATTTGGACTTTTTCTGAAAGCAATTTTGATTGTATTTTGATTTTCAGGAAATCTGAATTTTGCATCTGCTATATTCTGAATAACGACTTTATTTTTATTAGGGGCGCCTTGTTATTGCGTATACTTGCAGCACCTAATTAGCACTTAATTCCTTGCTATTGATATTTATCGTATATCTAATAACTTCATTGCGTTGCTAGCGAGACGTTTTGCTAGCAACGCAAATTTCAACAGATCGTTGCGGTGAAAATTTTAGAGCACCTAATTTATAAACTTGGCACCTAATTAGCACCTAAAAAGCCCCTAATTTTGGATTTTTCCAAATGCAAATTCCCGACTTTGCGTTGCTAGCGATACACAACTAATCAGCGCGACTTATGCGCAATAACGGTCACCGTTAGACATTTGTGCCGCTACTTATTATTATTATGTTCTGTTATAGTAAAAATAAATAATTGCAGTTGTCTCTGTTCCTAAGACTGAAAACGCCGTGCCATAGGTGGCGGGAGTTCAGATTCAGACATTCATATTTACATATTCATGAGGTAGATTCAAATTAACGTGAAAATGAAGTAGGGAAGTATATTATGCAGTTCTTACGTTTGTTCTGCCCCAACCGACGTGCACGAGGGTAGCGTTGTCCGGTACCACAGCGCCCTGCAGGGGGATGAACGCGGTATCGACCCTGGCTCCCAGAGCCACGGCAACCGTCAGCACTAGTACCGCCACGTCGTTGTCGCGTGGCGGAGAGTTGTAGGACTCATGTATGATTATTGCAGATATGGTGTGGATTTTACCACCTAATGGAAATATTACAATCATTAGTATACACACATGTTAAATGTTATAAAATTCATTTATATACATATAGAAATACAAACAATATTAAAAAACTAAACTAAAACAAAAAAAAACTTAAATTATCATATAGTCCTACTCCCCGTGGTATCGTGCCAAGAACGCTGGCATTGTTTCTTGGCTTAGTATAGCCATTCAGCGAGGAGTAACATAAGAACCAGCTCTCTTATCACTAGCAGCGATGGACCAGTCGCGGATACAGTTCCTTTGGGAACTTCACCACACGTGAGCCCCACGAGCCGATAGTCTCTGGAGCAAATGGCACAAATACGTAGTAATCTCTCAGGAGACTCAGAAATATGAGTAAGCGCCAATGACATAGTTTAGGTGCATTTGATACTGCCTCGGCTTACGGATGTGACATTGAGTGAAAAAAATCGATTAATAAAAAATCGATTTTTTGCTTTGTGATAATAATCGATTTAAGAAAAATCGATTTTTTTATAAAAAATAATCGATTTTTGCGAAAAAAATTATATTCGGAAAATAATCTTCTGGTTTTAGAAATAAACTACAGAACAATTTTTTAACATATAACTTTGAACAATAAAAAACTAAAAATAATTACTGCCACAAATGTTCAGTGCCATTTAACAATTTATTACAACCAAAATAAACAGAAACGATAAATTAAACTAAGTTTTACGGATTTTATCGCGTTTAATTTAACTTTTTAATTCCCCACATTTCAGGTGCTTTACAGCACGCATGGTCACAGAGGGGACTGAGGTGTTTGACGTCCCTATGTCATAGTTGAACCACAAATCCTCGCAAAAGAACACCGATTCCTACCAAGGATGATTCGCTAGGCTATCGAAATTAAAAAACATCCTAATTTCAATAGAGAAGATGGATAGGTGCTGCCATCTGCTTGGCATCCTATAATTAATAAAAGTTAATTTCAAACCCAAGCATACCACTGTAAGACTTCAAGATACTGTAAGCTCATTCTGCGTAGATCGGACCAAAAATTAATATTCAAAAACTGAATTTAGCCAGGCTAATTATGACATCTGGACGTCAAAGACCTCATTTCCCCCCGTGACCATGGGTGCTGTGAAGCACCCGAAACGTCAGGAATTAAAAAATTAAATTAAGCGTGATCAAATCCGTAAAAATTAATTTCATTAAATGTGGTCTTCGCGTAAATATAAGAAATAATTAAGAAACCATAATTTTAGTAAACGATAGTTTTTTTAAACTAAGTTTGAACAAACAAAAAGTCTAAATATCATTATGCCACTAATATTCAGTATCATTTACATTGGATTAGAATGAAAATAAAATAAAAATATAATAAAAATATAATTATAAATAATCCGACGACAACCTTTTGATCTCAAAACTAAAATAAAAGACAAATCTTTTTTTTCACTAGTGTAAACAAAAAAAGTAAAAAAAATATTGCCATGAATTTTCAGTTTAAGACTTTAAAAACAATCATTTCACCAAAATTCTTCTTCGTCTCTTTCCCAAAATACTGTTTCGTTTTTTCCTGACAATATTTCCCGCTTTCAAAAATAATCTTTCGGCTGGCGCGGAACTGGCCATCACTGAGGTGTTTAAAAGCCAATTCGGTTAGTTTAGGGAAAGTTCCTTCAGAGCTTCTCCATATATTGAGGGCATCTGCCTTGAGATTTGATAGTGGTGCTGTAATATATCGATTCAATTCAGTATTTTTGCCTATTGACGTGTTAGCCGCTATCATTTTTTCATTATAAAATACTTCTGTCAGTCACTTTTACGCGTTTCACAAGACATTTTTATTGTTTATATATAGTTGTTTACACTAACCAAAGAAAGAAAGAAAACCACAGAATACTTTTACTCCTAGCGGAGGAAGAAACCTGTTGAAAACATACGAAAAGCGAAACTGTTTTACATACATAGAGATACATAAAGGTGGCGCCGTCTTTTGATCGACTTATTCATGTTATTCAACTTACTTCACGTTTTTACATCCATCGCACAGATGACTCTGATTACGAAAATCGATTGAAACGCGTAATTTACATAAAAATCGATTTATTAAAAATCGATTTTTATTATAAAAAAAATCGACTTTGAAAAATCGATTATAACAAAACAATAATCGATTAATATTAAAATCGATTATTTTTTCACATCCCTACCTCGGCTCTTATAAAATTTATATTAATTAAATATGTGAATTATGCAAAAAAAATCATAAATCTACAATATACTATAATTAATTTTTTTTTCTATTAAACTGAAATGTGAAACGATCTCATAGTCCACTTGATGGTATGTGGTTATTGCAACTCAGGGTTACTTGCAACCAACCTCAAACAAATAATGCTACAGGTGCGTCACCTTTGAAGACTAAAATGAAAAGGCTCATAACATGTAATTACGAGTATACTGCCTATAAGTAATATAATAACACGTAGGTAAAGTACATGCTATGCGCATACGAATCACCATCAAAAGACAGACAGCATTCAACTGGCTGAATTGGCTATGCTGTCAACTACTGTACCCATTTATTTTTAAGATCTGCGACTGTGCCCTGTGTCCGTATCCCTGTTGTTTATTTATGTCTCTTAAATTCATTCATTAGCGCAACTTAGGAGGCCGTTACATTCTTTAGACATAGTTCAGTTACGGAATAATTTATTTATTTATTTAAACTTCATACAATATCATGTATAGGCGGACTTAATGCCTGAAGCATTCTCTAACAGTCAATCTTTAGGTGATACAGAGATAAAATATGAAGTAGGTGTGTGAAAAGCTAAAAGACAAGAATATAAATTAAAATTAAAGTAAGTATATAAATATAAAACAATATAATACATATACCCATACATAAACTTACAAATTAAAAGTTATTTAATATATACATAGTATTATATATAACGTATATACATAAAAATAATAAATTACATACATTGTATAATTATATATTTATATAAATACATAAATAAATGCTACAAATGAGATGATTCTGCCAGTTTATTTAAGTAATATTCGCGAACTTTCTACTTGAATGCATAACGATTATTAGCCGTTCTAATTTCAAGAGGGAGTGCGTTCCAGAGGAGAACAGATTGTACATTGAAGGAAGAATGTAAGAAGCCAGATTTGTGAGAGGGACACTTTAGTGAAAGGTTGTTCGAAGAAGGCAGGTTTCTGTCGTGGCTAGAGCAAAGGTATTGAAAATGAGAAGTTAAGTAAGAATAATCTGTTGAGGTCACCTCTATTCTACTCTGTATCAAGTCATTTTAGTATTTTGCTAGGGATGTGAAAAAATAATCGATTTTAATATTAATCGATTATTGTTTTGTTATAATCGATTTTTCAAAGTCGATTTTTTTATAATAAAAATCGATTTTTAATAAATCGATTTTTATGTAAATTACGCGTTTCAATCGATTTTTGTAATCAGAGTCATCTGTGCGATGGATGTAAAAACGTGAAGTAAGTTGAATAACATGAATAAGTCGATCAAAAGACGGCGCCACCTTTATGTATCTCTATGTATGTAAAACAGTTTCGCTTTTCGTATGTTTTCAACAGGTTTCTTCCTCCGCTAGGAGTAAAAGTATTCTGTGGTTTTCTTTCTTTCTTTGGTTAGTGTAAACAACTATATATAAACAATAAAAATGTCTTGTGAAACGCGTAAAAGTGACTGACAGAAGTATTTTATAATGAAAAAATGATAGCGGCTAACACGTCAATAGGCAAAAATTCTGAATTGAATCGATATATTACAGCACCACTATCAAATCTCAAGGCAGATGCCTTCAATATATGGAGAAGCTCTGAAGGAACTTTCCCTAAACTAACCGAATTGGCTTTTAAACACCTCAGTGATGGCCAGTTCCGCGCCAGCCGAAAGATTATTTTTGAAAGCGGGAAATATTGTCAGGAAAAAACGAAACCGTATTTTGGGAAAGAGACGAAGAAGAATTTTGGTGAAATGATTGTTTTTAAAGTCTTAAACTGAAAATTCATGGCAATATTTTTTTTACTTTTTTTGTATACACTAGTGAAAAAAAAGATTTGTCTTTTATTTTAGTTTTGAGATCAAAAGGTTGTCGTCGGATTATTTATAATTATATTTTTATTATATTTTTATTTTATTTTCATTCTAATCCAATGTAAATGATACTGAATATTAGTGGCATAATGATATTTAGACTTTTTGTTTGTTCAAACTTAGTTTAAAAAAACTATCGTTTACTAAAATTATGGTTTCTTAATTATTTCTTATATTTACGCAAAGACTACACATTTAATGAAATTAATTTTTACGGATTTGATCACGCTTAATTTAACTTTTTAATTCCTGACGTTTCGGGTGCTTCACAGCACCCATGGTCACGGGGGGAAATGAGGTCTTTGACGTCCAGATGTCATAATTAGCCTGGCTAAATTCAGTTTTTGAATATTAATTTTTGGTCCGATCTACGCAGAATGAGCTTACAGTATCTTGAAGTCTTACAGTGGTATGCTTGGGTTTGAAATTAACTTTTATTAATTATAGGATGCCAAGCAGATGGCAGCACCTATCCATCTTCTCTATTGAAATTAGGATGTTTTTTAATTTCGATAGCCTAGCGAATCATCCTTGGTAGGAATCGGTGTTCTTTTGCGAGGATTTGTGGTTCAACTATGACATAGGGACGTCAAACACCTCAGTCCCCTCTGTGACCATGCGTGCTGTAAAGCACCTGAAATGTGGGGAATTAAAAAGTTAAATTAAACGCGATAAAATCCGTAAAACTTAGTTTAATTTATCGTTTCTGTTTATTTTGGTTGTAATAAATTGTTAAATGGCACTGAACATTTGTGGCAGTAATTATTTTTAGTTTTTTATTGTTCAAAGTTATATTTTTAAAAAATTGTTCTGTAGTTTATTTCTAAAACCAGAAGATTATTTTCCGAATATAATTTTTTTCGCAAAAATCGATTATTTTTTTTATAAAAAAATCGATTTT